TCGCGAATAATTAATGTCGTATGAACCCCCAAAAAGAGTAGCGACTGAGCAAGACAGTTATCTGTAGTTTACCGTGGTAGTCGCGAGTATGCAACCTAGTGCAGGACTCTGCTGTGAAGGTGGAGACATGCGGCGGTGGTGTATTTGCAACAATAAAAAAAAAAAAAAAAAGAAGAAGAAAGAAATTTGAAGGAGCGGCGGCAAGGATTTAGGAATGGCAGGCCGCCTCTGCTAAATTAACGTAAAGGAAACACTGGGTAAGAGGGTGCAAGCCGGGAGTATGAGGGCGCAGCACCCCTGTAACATTATTTAGACAAACCTCTGGTAAGCAGTGGTCATCTGTCAGACGACTGTTTTATTCAATTCACTGTCTCCTTACTGGAAGACTCTCCAGCTCCTCCACAAATGGTTTCTTCCGCCGCAATCTTCGGAGCCTCACATCGACCCAGCTTTCTAATGAGGTCTTAGCTTCCATGGCTCCTCATAACAGATTCTCCTCACTCACGGCTGACAAGGCCACAGACACTCTCTGTTCCTCACTAGCCTCCTCTCTGAACAATCTCTGCCCTTTAACATCCAAACCTGCTTATACGTCCCCCCTTGTCCATGGCTCTGATGACACCTGATGACTCCGGAAAGCAAAGGCCAGGGCTCAGAGCAGCAGAAAGAAAATGATGTAAATCCAGAGAGAGTGACTATGAAAGTCTACTAGCGTTGTTCTCCTCCAGTTTAAAAACTGCTAAGACCAAGTACTATCAGAGCAAGATCTGTGGCAGATGCTCGAAAAATATTCTGCTTTTAACTCACTCCTCTGCCCACCCCCTCCACCACCCTCCAATCTGCTCAATGCAGACATATTTGCCTCTTCTTCACAGACAAAGTCTCTGCAATCAGCAACCAGTTCCCTGAGTCTGACCAATTCACTGTTCACCCACCAGCTCATAAGGCCATATTCTCCTCATACTCCCCTCTGACTGAGGAGGAAGTCTCAAAGCTGTTGCTGGACTCTCATCCTACTACCTGTCCACTGGACCCGATACTATCCAACCTCTTACAAACCATTTCCTCAGCACATAACCCTGCAGTAACACACGTCATCAACGACTCACTTGCTACGGGTGTGTTCCCCGCTAAATTTAAGCAAGCTCAAATCACTCCAATACTCAAAAAACTTACACTCAACCCAGCCTGGTACATCTTCCAGTCGCATTTTCCTGCATGTGTCCTTCTTTTCAGAGTTGTATTCGTTTACAGAGAAATGAAAGTAATGACGAGCACGTAGTCCAAACACAGTAAAAGCACTTACATTTTATCACAAATAAATGATAGTAGCTATGAACGATATCGTTGGGATCACTTTCAGAGCGATCTCAGAACAGCTTCTCTCTGCCTGGATATATTTCTTGTCTTTTCTATGAATGAATATGGAGCTTATACGCAGCTGGAGCACACAGTAGCTGCTCATCGCCAGTGTTTACAGAATGTTAATATTGTTCAGTGTGGGTGCGCACATCTGTATAGTGACCTCTTTAGTTATTAGTGTGGACGGGCCATTACAGGAAAACTGGTTAATGCCTGACTGTTGGAAGAAAAGAACAACAAAAACATCACAGTACATGCGCTGTCTGATTGGGAAAAATGTGTTCCAGGCATGAAAGATAATTCCAGTTGAAGTGTATTGGCTTGAAATTTGTGCTGGGGAACACGAAAAAATCGGGCAAATCGTGTTCCACGACACGAAATAATAGATTAAATTTTGTGATCATTTAAAGAATTGCCATGGGACTGGGTTGCCTCTCCACACTCACTGAGCTTGGCATCTCAGGATCTGCCCTCCGCTGGTTTATGTCCTACCTCTCAGGAAGATACTTCAGAGTACCCTGGAGTTTCTGAACCACACAACCTATCCACAGGGGTTCCTCGAGGTTCAATGCTCAGTCCCCTCCTCTTCTCAATATAGACAACCTCACTTGGTGCAATTGCCACGCCCATGGTTTCTCAAACCATTGCTATGCTGATGATACCCAGCTCTTCTTGCTGTTTCCTCCTGGATGACTGCATGGTCTCTGCCTGCATCCCATCATGCCCTGCAGACATCTCGGCATGGATGACGAAACGCCACCTTCAACTCAACCTCTTTAAGACTGAGCTCCTTGTCATCCCAGCCAGTCTCTCTCTACAAAAAGAAGTAAACATCCAACTCAAACACACAAATTCTGCCAGAAACTTGGGTGTCATGATTGATGACCAACTAACTTTCAAGGCTCATATGGCCGCTGTTGCTCGGTCATGTCGATTCACCCTGTACAACATCAGGAAGATCAGATCTTTCCTGTCTGAACAACTCCTAGTACAGGCTCTCATAGTATTAACCACTGACTACTGCAACTCCTTACTGGCAGGCCTCCCCACATCCACGGTCAAACCTCTGCAGATGATCCACAATGCAGCAGCATGTCTGGCTTTCAACCAGCTGAAACCAGTACGTCACCCTGCTGTTCAGATCGCTTCGCAGGCTTCCAGTTGCTGCCCGCATCAAATGCAAAACTCTGACACTTGCTTACAAAACTACAGCGAGAACAGCTCCCTCCTATCTGAACTCTCTCATTTGGGTCTCCACTCCCTCCCGCACACTACGCTGGACCGCCAAAAACCGCCTAATACAACCACCACAACAGGGCCCGAGGTTGATATCTGGACTTTTCTCCTCTGTGGTTCCCCAGTGGTGGAACGAGTTACCAAACTCTGTTCCATCTGCTGATTCCCTCTCAGTCTTTAAGAAAAGACTAAAGACCCAGCTCTTCACTGAACACCTTTGAACTTGACAGACTGAAAACAAAAAACAAAAAAATAAAACAAAACAAAACAAGGGGCTGCAGGGTGGCGCAGTTGGTAGCACTGTTGCCTTGCAGCAAGAAGGTTGCCGGTTCGCATCCCGGTGGGGGCACCGGAATCTTTCTGCGTGGAGTTTGCATGTTCTCCCCGTGCAGCGTGGGTTCTCTCCGGGTTCTCCGGCTTCCTCCCACACAGTCCAAAAACATGTGAAGGTTAACTGGTGATTCTAAATTGTCCGTAGGTGTGACTGTGAGTGTGCTTGGTTGTCTGTCTCTAAGTGTGGCCCTGCGATGGACTGGTGACCTGTCCAGGGTGTCCCCTGCCTTCGTCCTAAGTCAGCTGGGATAGGCTCCAGCCCCCCTGCGACCCTAGTGAGGATTAAGCGGTGTATAGATAATGGATGGATAATGGAAAACAAAATAAAAAATGTCCTATTACCTCCCACATAGCCTGCTATTGGCGTCAACGCCCTATCCCACTTGAACTTGTTCTATGGCACTTATCCAGATTGTTTTCTCCTGACTAGATCCTTGTGCTATATCTGCTCTCAGATGTATGTTGCTTTAGATAAAAGCATCTGCTAAATGAAATTGTAGAATTGTAGAATTGCAGTGGTTTGTACCAACCAAAGTGGTCTGAAATAGGACTACCAGTAAGCTGGCAACAAGATCACAGACATCCAAGGCTCTTTTATGCAAACTGCATATAGGTTTGTGTAGCTGCAGACTGGTCTGTAGTTACTTCTGTCCACTGCCAAAAGGACCTACAATGGGCACATAAACATCAGAACTGGACTATGGAGCAACAGAAGATGGTGGCCTGGTCTGATGAATCAGGTTCTCTTTTGCATCATATGAACAGTCAGATGTGTTTGCGTTGTTTTAAGGAAGAGATGGCAGCAGGATGCACTGCAGGAAGAAGGAAAGCCAGCAGACACAGTGTGATGTTCTAAACAATTATCTGTTGGGAAACTCAGTTTTCTGGCATTCATGTAAATTTCATTTTGCAACGGACCAGCCAGCTAAATGTTGTTGCAAACCATGTGCACCCCTTCATCATAGTACGTCCTGATGGCGGTGGCCTCTTTGAACAGGATAAAGTTCCCTGTCACACTGCAAACATGGCTCAGAAGTGGTTTGATTGGTACACACACTACACGTGTCATAAGTCGATAAATCATAATCTGTAAGTGCCTGTCAGTGTGACAGCTCGTGGCCGTTCGGTGTGTGTGTGCAGAACCAAAAACGAAGAGGAGACAGGGAGTAGAGAAAGGAACTGGTTTATTTTTGGGGAATCCAGGAGGAGTGGGGCACCAGGAGGCAGGTAGGGAATCCGCGGCAGGTGTGCAGGTTGCAGTGACAATGCAGGAGGGGGAGTTTCCGTGCTGGTGCTCGTGTGGAGGTTTCCCGTGTCGGTGCTCGTGCCGAGGTTTCTTGTGCTGGTACTCATGTGGAAGGTTTCTGTGCCGGTGCTCGAGTGGAGGTTTTCCTGTGCTGGTGCTCAAGTGGGATGAGAACTCAACTTGTGTTGCCGTGACGGTAAAGGCTGGCGTGATGGGCGGACGGCTGGACGCTGGAGCCAGCGGAGAGGACATTAGAGAACAAAAGAGAGATCACAATTACTCAAACTCGAAAGTAGAACTAGCAGAGGAACACAAGCATTCAAACTACTGCTAATGGCCTGAATGTACCACTTGTGGTGTTCACAGTCATCTGGCACAGGAGTCCAGGTGAGTAGAGGCTTAATTCTGTCACTGAAGAGATGATGAGCTGCAGCTGTGCCAGTGAGGGAGCATCCTCCTCCACTCAGCCCCGCCCAGCCTGAAAATGAAAGGCACACCAGCCAAAACACACACACACAGAAAAACAGGAATCCGAAAACATACAACTGAACATGTCCATAACCACCACAGTCAGAAATACATAAAGGGGTACTGTCTGAAAGGGCCTAGAGTCACAATGTCAGCTCACTCTCCAATTTGTGACAGTTGGGGTGATTCCAGGTCATTTTTAATCTTCATGTTATTATTCCTTATAGTAATTTTGTATGTACTGCTAATATATTGGCATATTGTATAAACATGAACATAGATATTATTTGAACTAGAATCTTTACATTAAGTTTGTTTTAGGGTGCATTAGGTGTTTTGTGTTATTGGAAATAATAAACTAAACTACTGCTGTCTCATTATACTTATGTTCTGGACTGAGCTGTCAGCAAAAACTTCCATCAGGTTCAGACTGCCCATCACAGCTAATCATAAGATGTCACCTTAACACACACCTTGCGCTTTGTTTCATTTATTATGACAGCTGTATTAACAGCTGTGAGCCAGGACCAGCAATCAGTAGGAGGGCATAGTGACGTAAATCCTCTCCACACACAGACACAGACACACACACAGACACACACACACACACACACACACACACACACTCAGATACACAGCAGGGGTGCTCTTTCTCCATGCAGTGTAGCTGACTCATGCAATCAGTCCACATGGGCCTGTCATGGGAGATTTAAGCTAATAACTGTGTAGTTCCAAGTAACAGGCTGACATACAGGCCACAAAACCCCATTTTAGCCCATATAGTGTTTTCATGTGTAAGGTGACACACTATGAATTTAGTGTAAATTGTGTGCAAGTTTGTAAGGAATCGTCCTACCATCAGTTGTGTCTCCCTTCCGGTTTTCAGTGGTATGGGTAGCAGAGTGATACAGTAAAAACCAAATATCAATCAGCCTTCAAACAAGAACAAATACTTATAAACAGATATAATGACCATCAGAAGTCAAAATAAAGGCATATCCTCATTTTGTAGAGAGAAAGAATTCTAAACTCTTTCAAAGCACACTTTAACATTTCTTAGAATGAGCTTATCTGTTGAGGAAGACAGATGTATTGCTGTGTGGTCAGGAAGACATCCACCTTTATTTCTAAGTCAAGAAAAGTTAATGTTTTTAAATCTGTCGTCATGAGGGGATCTGGTAAGGACCCAACTACAAAAACATACATGTGGCAGGCAGGTTGTGGTAACAAAACGTATAAAAAAGTCCAACGAAGTCAACAGACACAGCTTGGTCCTTGTACAGGGACCTCCAGGGTGCAAAGAATTAGTGATTAAAATTTCCTGATGTGTCATTATTATTATTCGTTGCCATGGTGATGGCGGCACGCATAGATGCAGCCGCCCCTTTAGGAGACAACGAAAGTGAACGTTTTGACTGTCTTGCCTATCCCAGATGTTCATTCCGCAAAATTTGCGGCCAGGAGACTATGCTGGGCGTCAGGTAAGTGAATGGTGCTGGAATTGCGGCGACTGTTTGTGATTTGGACATGTTGCGCCAACGCAGAGTCTGATCAGAGACTACGCCGGCAGTTACCCGAGAGAGAAGGAAGCACAAATGGTTTGAATGTTAACAAAAGACGAGGAAGAGAGCCGGGATCTTCAAGTACGACCCAGAGACCAAACGCTAAAGCCTTCAGCAGAGTCCGACATCACCAAGGCCGAAGAAAGCAAGACAGTCAAAGTCCAAAGTCAAAGTCATGTTGATCACATTGTTCGATGTGAGGGGCCTCGTCCACTGCGAGTTCTTGCCACTGGGTCAGACGATCAACCCGCACGTCTACAAAGCGATGCTGCGGCATTTGTTTCGTTCAGTGCACGAGAAGAGGTGAGAGTTGTGGCAGAACAAGTCATTGCTGCTTCACCATGACAACGCGCCTGCTCACAATGCCCTGACCATCCCACAGTTCCTGACTGAGAAGAACATCGCTGTGCTGGAGCAACCTCCCAACTCACCCCACCTGGCTCCATGGGATTTTTTTCTCTTTCCCAAGCTCAAGGGGGTCATTAAGGGGACCGTTTTAAAGATGTGGACAACATCAATATGGCTGTGACGACGGACCTTTGGTGGATTTTGGAAGAATCCTTCCAGGAATGCATGGCGGCGTGGCAGAGAAGACTGGGAAAGTGTGCTAGACTCCAGGGGGATTACTTCGAAGGGGGGGTGCATTATTTTTTATTCTAATTTATTGTAGATACTGTAGTTGCTTTTGTCATGCTCTCCACCTCAGGGCATGGCAAGTGGCAGTGCTTCTCACTTATCTCTCTCTTCTCTCTCTGTCTCTCCCTTACCTTCAGGTGGGCGTGTGCGGGGCGAGTGTGCAGGGCAGGAGAGGTGCAGTGATTGGTTAATCACCTGAGGATCCACACCTGCAGCTGGTTCCCACTCATCAGTCACTCTTCACATGGCACCATATAAGCGGAGCACAGACTACGACTCGTCACTGGGCCGTAAACTTGCTCTCTGTTAGTTACTCGGGCTCTCTGCTACATCTGTCTCTGTGCCTTGTGCTTTCAATCCGCTAATCTGCCTTGTTCACTGTCCTCAGCTCTGGAAACCATCTGCTGCTCTGTGTTACCTGGTCTGCCTCAGCGATCCACACTTACTCACACATCTAACGCTCCCTCTGGAAATCCCTGGCTCCATCTGCTCTGGTCACTATGTCTGCAACCACCTCTGCTACGCCACATCATCCACCTCCCCTCGACTCCATACCCGTACTCTGTCAGTAAGCAACCCAGTCTCTCTCTGGCCCCGTAAACCTTTCTTGTATTGGTTAGGTCTGTGTTGTATTTCTCCTATTTACCCCTGTTTTTTAGTCACACTTCCGGTCTGGCCATACCAGTCCCAGGTTTGCTATTTAGGAATTTACTGTGTTCTTGGTAATCCTTGCTTGAGCTAAGACTAGCGTGTAGTTAGTCTGCCAAGTCTCTAGAGGTCCCTGTAGTTCCTGTGTTTTTGCCTTTGACTTTAGTTTCTGTTTCCTGTGTGCTCTGAAGAATTGGTTCTGATTCATTGTGTTCTGGTTTACACGTGTTTTATATATGTTGTATATAGTGTTTGGTTTGTAAATATTCTTTATAGTAAATAAATGTGTTGTTTGTAGAATGTTTGGTTGCCGAGTCCATGTTTGCGCTTCAGTCTCAGTCTCTAAACCATAACAGCCTTGATACAAAGAGCTTTCTAATTTTATGCAGGTACAAGAGGACCATTATTTTGTAAATTAAAAATGATTTGATTTAAATGTTTCTATAAATTAAATTCTGTGTCTGTGTACAGGCCTGTATCTGTCTTTTTCACCAGTACAGCTGAGGTGAAAAAAATTTAGTTTGTGGTCAGTTATAAATATATCTGCTAAATTATATCATGGAATTTACTATGTTTGTCATGGGATGAATTAGAAAATGTCACCAAAGCCACAGCTAACAAAGAAGCTGTGACCCAACATAGGCTCCTGTAGCCTACAGGCAAACAAGACAAGACAGAAGTGGTCAAAGGTCATGCTACAGCTGGTGGCCAAAAACACAAGCAATGAAAAGCCGAGCTGCTGAAAGGCATTCCGTTTTTGGCACCAAACCAGCTCTGACTTAGAGGGTAGCAAAAGTAACTGGTGGAAAACAAATATTTTTATTGGAAAACTCAACAGTTAATAACTCACAACAAGCTCTGAGCTGTGCACATTTCATGCTCTACAGTGAGAAAAGAATAGTTGTGCAGTGACTGGCAGACACATTGGCAGACACATCATTTTACCTGTTTACAAGAAGATTACTTAAACTATGCCATAATTATACAGACATATCCTGAATGTGTTGGAACCCGACACATCAGCAAATAGCTTCATCAAACTGACTTTTGGAAAAGGTCACAGGGAAAAACCCTTGTAGCTGTTTGATTGTGTATTTTGGCTTTGCTATGAGTGCTTTTTTGTTGTTGCAATGTGCTAAATGAGACTGTATTCTGGGGGTCAACAGGAAGAAGTCAACAACTTCATCAGAACATTTGAAAGAATGCTCAAACAGCAGGATTCAGCCCATTTGAATCCTCACAGAAGACTGTTTAAGAGGACTTCAATTGTTTTTTTGTTTCCTGTGAGTGTGTGTGTGGATATTTGTGCGTGCAGGTCTTGAAGGTTAAAAGTTCAGTAGGTTTTTGTCTTTCCTTTTTCCCACTGTTGTCAAGCCTATCAAGATGAATTTTTTGTCGCACACTGAAGTTATGCACATACATCTCATGATAAAAAAAGAAGTGAACTTGCTGTAATGTGTGCTGTACTGGTATCTCGGTGGGAGTATGATAGAGGCATCTGATCACTGTGGATGAACATGCAGAGACACAGAGAACCCCTGATAGCTTCCAGGCAGACTGTGGCAGGAACATACCACCCAGATGAGCCATGTGTCTCTGGAAACTTCATGACAGAAGGTGAACCCAGCCTGTAAAATGGATAGCTATGATTTAAAGTGTGTGTTTGCGTAATAGAATACACTACTCGGTATGAAACCTATATTTTTTAGTAGACATTTGATGCAACTATCTATTTAATTAAAGTACCTCTTATCTATATTTCTATGAAAAATATATACAATAGGGGTGCCGCTATAGTTCACCTGCTTGAGCTGGTGTTCCGATGTGGAGGTCATGAGTTCGAATCCTGCTCATGGCCTTTTCCCACACGTCCTCCCCCCATTTTCCTGTCTCTCGCTCTCCAACAAAGGCCAAAAAATAACTTCAAAAATATCTCTCTATATATACACATATAAAATAACAACACGAAAACAGAGGGACCATGTGAAAGAGCTTTTTAGTAGCAATGAATCCTAAATCATCAGTTAAATCTACAGGGTTCTTCACCTTCACAGAGCTTTATACTGAGTTTAGGCCATTGTTACTATGCCGACCACAACTTTACAGTTTTGTTTATATTCACTGCTCTCTTAGAGATCTGCTTTTAGAAAAAAAGTTGCGAAAATGCTAAAAATTCACTGCACCCAACTTGCTCAACAGCTTACAGCATACAGATGCTGTAACAGACGAGCTGCTGAACATTGTAGAGTAATGAACAGCTAATAAGCCTGATATTTTTCCCAGGCCATTCATCATTTGGTCACAAATACAACATCAAATATATGTGATACTGAACTTGAGTGCAGCCACCCTACACTAAGCTGACTGTGACCTTTACCTTGAAGTGTGTTCTTAAATGATTTCTTCACAATTCTGTTTGAGATGGAAAAGTTCAAAAGATGAAAAATGGTGTTAGTGGGTGTGATTTCATCTCAAGGCTGATGTTATAGAGCTGATCCTAAACTCATTTGACATGGTATCAACTAGATTTTGCTGACGATGCATCCACACTGAACATGCCCTCAGAAACAGGCAGATGTTAAGACTTGCCTTGCATTCTCTCTGACAGTCATATAGGCCAAGTGCCAGAAGAACACAGTACAGAGGACTTACACAAGCTTACACAACACACTTTCTTTATCATTGTCACTGGCAGGACTGGCTAACGCTATGCAATGTGCAATAGAAGCGATCTGAAATGAATGACTACAATTGACAGGGCATTATTTGATTTGTAACTAGGTAATGATTCCACTTCTATCATGAGCTGTTCATTCTTCTGCTTTGGGCACTTAATGTCACTTTTTAAAAATTTGGTTATGTCAACTGCTTACTCTAAGCTTCTTCAGGGAAGCCCTTTTAAAAAATTAGTTTTTTTTATGCACATTTGGCTCCAAAAGTTTGTAATCACATTAAAAAATTCTCATATATTCAGGCAAACCTGGAAATAATAAGGTTTGAGGATTTAGAAACATTCTGGCAACCAAAAGCATTACATTCAAATTGACATGTTTGTATCTAATAATCACAAAGTGCTCTCTAATTGTGTTAAAAACCCCAGCGATGGGTGTCAACACAAAATACAGCTTCCCACTCACCTCCATTCCTTCCCACACACTGTTGAAAAGGTGTTCATATCAAATAAGCCTTGATGGTCACAGCTCCTATCCACACCATCCCATTTTCAAAATAATCACCACAAGCACAATAATAACGATTGTCACAACCACCAATAATATCAAAATACAATCCATGTTAATGTTAGCACAGTTCATTATTCACTAACTCTAATGCATGGCTCCTGCACACCAGCCCCTAATTGTTAGATTATGACACATAATAGTTACTTAAAATTTTCAAGCTGATAGACATTAAATTATCACAAACATAATATTCAAAAGTCCATACATCAAATTGAAGTTCATACACATCTTCTTTCTTTCTCAGTCAAAATATTTTAAACAATCTTTCTGTTAGGGCTGGAAAATACAGAGTCAAGATTGAGGTCAAAGTATCACAAGGTGTAGCAGCCAGTCCTCATCTAGCATCAGTCTAGACAACAGATCTTAG